GAGCTTAACCACGTCAGGGCAGGGAACAGATCATAGCCAGCGCTGATTACTCCTCATGACTCACTCCTCCTGCCTGTTTTATGTGGAAAAAATGTAATTCCACATCAAGGGCATAGCGGGATTGTAGTCCCTGAGGCTCTCTGTGTTGCACATGTGAGGTACTTTTTTTTTTTTTTTTTTTTTTGTTATTTCAGTTATATAAGATTAGATAAACTGTGTTAACACCCCACGGAGGAAATTCACACTTGTATCACACAATAACAGGATGTAAATAAACTCAGGAACAATACAGTCCTGTATCAGCTCCATCAAGATATTTGATTTTTTTTTTTTAAAGCAGTCTCTCAAAACAAAAACAGGATTTTATTGTGTGCATGTTACTGTGTAAGTGAGTCATCGCAGCCAAGAACTAGTAACAATCTTAGGAGAATATTTTACTCTAATAATTGACCTCTGGCTTTGCCCACTGGCTCATTCCCCCTCCGCACCTTATCTCTGATCTAATTATTTCGATTTGCCCTCCCGTAGATGGATGAAAGTCTGCCTTTCTGCTGGCTACATTCCTCTGTTGCCTCCTTGCATCTGAGTGGCCTTATTTAGCATCCGCCTGTGTTCTGCCGGATAAAAAGAACAGTCTGGATGCCTAATCACTCACTGTAAGATATAATCGTCTGTTACTCTTTGAGATATTCCTTCCAACCACTATAAAGGAATCGTTATATGTTCACTGCGACAATTCTGGAGGCATGTGTAGATTTTTTTCTGCCTTTTACATTGTCCAAGAAAGAAGTGGAAGCTGTGACCTTTTACAATGTCACATTATAGATTTGAATGATAGTAATGACATTTAGCGCGAGGCCGATGAAAATGACACCTCCCATGAATCTTCTCTGCTGTATTTTGATGTCTTTCTCCGAGCTCCACGCGCGCTCAGTCCTTGAGCGGCTTTAACGGCTGGTAGATTGGGTTAATTTAAAAATAAAGACATGCACATTTAAAACGCCGTCGAGGAAGCAAGACAGTGAAAACACGATCGCTAGATGTGGGTGATTAAGTCCTTATCCACGGTTAATGAGCACATTGCAGCGACGACTCTCTGTTAAAACCTCCCCGTCAAACACAGACTAAGCTCAATTGATCTGGCGTGACGTGATTCATTTCCTGCAGGGTGTCTCTTTCCCTCCGACTCTGATCCATACCTCCACTTACCCCATGATCCGACAACTACCGGCTTCTATCTCTGTGCTCCAGCTTATGCACAGCTCAACATCAGGCTGATAAAACACAACGGTTATCCCTCCAACCCTTTATCGATTGGGCATTGTTACCCTCCTCACTCGCCCCGCTTCCTCACAAAGGCTGAGTGCTCGCTGTGAGGGAAATCTTAATCACCCCCTGCTAATGCTATCGGTCACTGTGATTTTGGAAGTGAGTAATTATTGTTTGAGGGTGATTGTTTTAGTAGGCAGGAGAGAAATTGGCCACTGCTCCTGTTCCCGCCTTTGTATTGGCTTTGAATTGGTTGTGGGTTCTTTCTAATCGCAGAGGCGACAGACAGAAACTGGCTTGTTACGATAATGTGTAAGGTTGGGAAATAATGTGGCTGTTTTCGCACTCACATGGTGGTAAATGAGTAAAGCAAATATGACAATGCTTTCTAGGCCCCATTCCCAGTATTAAAAGAGCAAATTGTGAGCCTCCCTGAATCGAGGCTTGAGAAAAGATGAGCTGAAAGCGCTGCAGTTGAAGGATACAGATACATAGAAAGCACAGAATGGAAAAATAACACTCGAACGGCATGGGTACATTTTATTATAAGATGTACAGTTCGTGCACCTCTTCAAGGAATCTCTGCTTTTCTGTTTAACCGAAAGTCCTGACATTAGACTCAAAATAAGGCGCTGTGTAAAGTAATTTGCCCTTCACAGTACACTCTGCTGCTTACAATAGTTTTGTAGATTATATGATGACTGCTTAAAAAACTTCTAATCACATCGGACAAGCTTCAAAGACACTGGCGGATATCAGGAGCTCTTGGCATTGCACAGTGGCAAGACTGGCGAGCCCGGGCCAGTGAGAAATCCAGGTTGAGAATGTGCTGCCTGTTTATTGGTGCTTAATGAAAAACAATTTATCTAAATCACCACCAGGGAGGGTTCCTGGTTAAAGCTCTGGAAGAGGGCTAGCATTTTTGTCAGTGACAAATGTGCTGCTGTTTTTCCAATTCAAATTGAATTGACGAGCAAAAACACAGCCATTTGGGCCACGAGCACAGCCACAACCCACAATTCCACCTTCCAGTCCTGGTGGAGGCATGGCTGTTGTACTGTAGTTTAAGCAAGATAAAAGACTCCAGATGTAGAGATAAACATGTTAAGCTGCAGCAGTCCATATTTTCATATTGATAATGGAAGAAATTATTAAGTAATGTGAAGGGGTTGTCTCGCCGTGACAAACCTACAGTGAGTTATCACCCCAGCCTTCACTTCCCCTCAGCTCTACAGATTTATGGACCCAGGGGCGTAAATACAGACAGTGCAGGCAGCGCAGGCTACACTGGAGCTGATGGGGTGGGCAGCCCATAGAGAAAACAGGCTTTCTAACAATGTGCTGGGTGAATGATTCTGATTGCCACCTCTGGAATATGCCTGTGGTGGAAGACCAACGCATTCTCACTCTAACCTCATCACATATTGAAGTTTGATCATGGACTTTCCACGCCTAGATACGGCGTGAAAGGTACCCTCGGTGCGTTGGTGTTGACCATCTGGGGCACCGTGACAAGTTCTGCCTGTTACATGCATTGTCTTCTTTCAAAATACAAATATAATATTTACATACATCCTCTTTCGAAATAAATGTATTACGTCACTACAACACCGCAAATTGACTTTTTTTTTTTTTCCTCCAACAACTAACGCACGTGGTTAAGTTTAGGCAAGAAAAGCAGGTGGTTAGGTTTAGGTAAAAAGAACAGGGTTTGGCTTTAGAATCTTACGGGACACGACCATCGCTCCTCCCCCGTCCTACTCGTACTTTCGGCGCCTTAACTTTCGTTCTTGTTCTGCCGTGTTTCCCTTTGACGTCCACCGGGTTGCGTATCATGCCGACGTTAAAGGAGCCAGCCCTTTAAGGTCTGACGCCGAATCAGTCTTTGTTCAACATTGGCAGTATAAAAACAAAATCGGGGAGTGCAGAAAATGCCGCTTGCCTACTTTTGTTTATACAGAATGCGCCTTTTTCAGGGCAATGAGGCAAAAGCAAGTAACAAAAAGTGTAACTCAGCGTGTGATGTAACCAGTGACGTACTCCAAGGGAAGCCGCGGCTGGTCAGTCATTCGGCGATTCTCTCATAAATTGGCCCGTCCTTCACCGTCCCCGTCATCTGACGGTTAATGGCCTCTTCGTTTGCGAGGACAAGGAGGGCGCGCAATTCCTTGTCTCCCCAGTTGCTCATCTTTACAGTGTCTGTCAGGTTTGCGTTTCCCTCTTGCTACTAGCTGCTCGCTAATTCCTGCTATCAGCTGTTTCCTGTTTATCCACCACCAGTGGGTTGCACATGCGGCGTCATAAACAGCTCCTCCCACAAGTCTTCAACAGCCCCTCCCGTTGCGGAAGGCCGCCTCGGTCTGTTTAAACCAAAAAGGTTCCGCCAATGTGTCTACCCTACAAGGCGGAAAATTGGGCGCCTCAGATCAATTCGCCAATCCGGCTCTGTGTGTCTAAATGCTCGCAGCTTGCCGGCAAAACAGTCCAACATTCACCGAAAATCTGGCAGTGTAAAAGGAGCTATTGTTACATTTCTTGGGAGGTGCACGTCAGGCTACACCAAGTACAGCATCTCCTTGACACAGAAGTATAAATCCTTCATTACAGTGAAGTAATCTTCTGAACCAGACTATTTTAGCCATTTTATCATTTGCTACTTAGTCATTATACCCATATTACAGTTGATAATTTATCAAATATCTCATTGTGGAAATATTTTGGGTCAAAAATATTGTGACATTTGATTTTCTCCATATCACCCAGCCCTCCAGTGAACACTGATTTTATTAGAACCACTGAAATTATATTACCTTTTAAAATGAATGAAAACATATTCAATAGCATGGCCTGATTAAAAAGAATACAACTTTCTTAAAACACATTACACACCTATTCACACACCTCCTCTTTAGTCAAGGAGGAATTCCTGTGACCATTTTATCTGCTTCCACAAAGAGTCTAAATGTCATTAGCTGACGGAAATATGCATTGTGAAATTCCTGTTCTTATTGAATTCTATAATAACTGTGATAGCTCTGGCAAAAATATTCCAAGCATGAAATTAGGGCTTCTACCACTGTGGTGCTGTTAAATTTGAAATTAGAATTTTATTGGAAGGAGAACTGCGAAGAAATTACATACTAAATGACGAGCTGATAAAGAAAATAACACACTGTAAATGTGGAGTCATGCATGGATGATTCATCTCGTGTTTGTACAGCACTTAATTGTAACTAGACTACAAGCTCCATCACCTCTCTGTTGTATATGCAGACATGTTATGAATGTTCAGCCCACCTGTGTTTTTCAAGTGTTCATTTTTGGTCACCTCTGGTTTACACACTGATTCGCCTCTCGTTGCCGAGAACAACCTTGATCTTATTCTGAGAGAGAGATGATGAAAACTTCACCTCAGACTGCAGAGGAAGAGCCACAGAGCCATGGCAACAGAGGTGCGAGAGCTACACTCAAGGAACGAAGTTGGATACACTTTATAGAGGAGCTGTTTGCCAAGAATAAGCCTGACGTGTGCCAAAAGCCAGGCCTTTTCTGCTGACACTGCTCCTGCCTCTAACATCTCTCTTCTACCTTCTCTCATCTCCCTATCTTTCCACCCCTTTACTCAAACTCGCCCTTCAATCCCTTTTTTCTCCCGTCTTCAAAAAACACTCCTGCCTACCCCTCCTCACGTGTGCACGCTCTCCCTCTCTCTCTTCCATCTCTCTTCTCAGATTATGGTGTTGACAGATCCGGAGTTTGAAAGCAGCGTGCTCATCAGCTCTGATGAGGGGGCCAGTTTCCAGAAGTACCGCCTCACTTTCTACGTCCTGAGCCTTTTATTCCATCCCACTGAAGAAGACTGGGCCTTAGCCTACAGTCACGACCAGAAGGTGAGACTGTGCTTGATGTCATATCACTTTTCTGTCCCGGCCACAATTAGCTGCATATGACTTACTTAGAGTTGTCTCGTCCTTTGTGTTGCCCACAGTACATATTCATCAGGGTCTGTAGTTTTCTTCAATTTAGCTAATCACCTGATGGTAGGGCATTGATTCACTCACTGAATATGAATTCTAAAATAATGGTGCAGGCCTCTATTTAGCTGGGGAAAAAAGATAGAGTACCTGACCTTAAGTAGACTCAGACTATGATTAAAGACAGACATTTATTTCTAAATCCACCTATTATTTAGGTATATATTATCATATTTTTGCTAGAAGCTTCCTGGTTTTCTGATCTGCTCCCATTTGCAATGTAAAAATGACTGCTGTTTTCTGTTAATGCCAACTGAACATGCCTCCATTATAAGGGCGTGTTAACTGAAGCATTTGTGACTGACTAAATTCAAAACTAGCCAACACCAACTGTAGCCACGGCAAGTTGTCAACATCTCACATTTCCTGGTGTGTCCAGGCACTGATCATGTTCTTGTGCATCAATAACTTCGTGAGAAGCATTTGTTAAAAAAAACCTCTTGCTGTGGAAGAGCCAAAAAAAGTCCTGCAGTAGCACTGCATTTTAATTTCTTAGATTTTTGTTTTCTTGTCTTGAAAATAACTGTTCAGACAGAGACATTGTGCCTCATTAAGTAATATGTGTATAGAAATGTTTCTTCTTTGTGCACAGAATAAGTGTGCATACAAAATAACCATTGGATTCGTGACACAGGCATGGGCCTGTCAGTTTAGGATGATTCTAAACTTCTAAAGGCTAATTCACATTACACGATTGTCACCCTGCAAAATGTGTTGCAGAGACTATCGTAATCTTTTGAGTGTTCATACCTGGCGACGTGTGTTTCTGTGAGCGGGAGTCTTGCCAACTGCGCTACGACCTGTGTGTGCACACCACAAGATTTCTCCACCGAGTCCTTGCCGACAGAGCCCCAGATAACGCGGTGACATCACCAAACTTGGAGACGATACATCGTAAAGCCATGGATATTCTTCCCAGTGTTGAACCAGATCTGCCTCCAAGGCCTGGGTCCAAACACACCGCCTCCCCGTGATCCTGTGGACGCACGCCGCCATTGTTGTTGTTGCTTGCTGGCTTGTCAGTGTTGCCAGATCTTGGGAGGGAAACAAGCAACCAGGGCTATGGAAACAAGCCCAAAAGAAGCGACAGATATATAGAGAGAAAGGCGACGTTTAGAGAGCACGCCCAAATAAGCAACTCCACTTTAGGAACAAGCCCAAAAAAAATGCAACCCGCGACTACCAATATTTGTAAGGGACTTTACAAAAAAACAAGCCCAAAGTGGTGGTTTGTCCTCCTCACATTTCTTCCGTCCTCTTGCATGCTGATGTGGGACGTATCCTGCCTCTCATTGGCTGATGCTCTTGTCAGTCGTGTCAGACTTCTCCAGTTTTCTAGCATGCCAGATATCCAGTCCCAGTCTTGCTCGTAGGCTTGTTCACACATGAGGACTCTTCGTGGCACACTATCTGCCGACTCACCTCCGACCCAAGGTGCCTCTCAAGATCCTCTGCGTCGTCAAAATCGCGGTGAAAATCGTGTAATGTGAACTAGGCTTAAAGTCATCGGATGCACCTCTTTCACCTGATACCTTTTCAGGTTCAAGTCATGCATTATTCTCCACTGTCTAAACCTGGTGCTTACATTACACACAGTGCAACTAGACTGCTGACAGCTGGGTCAGAGATTTTGCTGTGTTATGCCATTAGCAGCCAATGTAGTCTGAGGCCAGCCGCTAACCTCAAGCAGAGATGTGCATACTTTTTCTTGTTGGTAACTTAATTTTTCATATACGTTGAGGATTTTACTGATTGAACAATATATCTATTAGTGTCACATGATATGGCTCTTCAAAAGAACCTTCCCATGTTATTAATATTACTTTGATAATTTACAAAAAGGGTTTTTTTTTTAAACGTTTGCAGGAAGTGTTTGACAAATTAGAAAGCCTTCATCAGTGAGTAAAAAGGGTATAACTGTTAAAAAGAGCTTAGAGACAGAGAGTGGTGAGTGAGGCACCACTGTGTTGTTATACTGATGGAAATGATGCTGAGAAAATGCACACAATGCACCATGCAAGCCATTACCGTAAAGGTACTAGTAATTTGTTTATTGGCCCTGGCTTTATTTCGGACTGGCTCTTTGTTGTCTGAACAGAGCAGAGACTCTGCTGTATTTGCGCTTTTATTTCAGAATGGTATATACTGCATTAGCTAAAAACAACATCAGTCCCTCAAAGTGATCCTCGGCCTCCCATTTTCCTATTTGGTGTCACCTTCACTGGGCTTTGTCACACAGTATGAAGCACTACACACCATCTTCACACAGTGCTTTTAGATTGTGTGCAGCAAAGGTGCGCCATGAAGGTCAGTGACTCTGACCTGAGAGCCAAAGCCATCGCCCTGCAGGGGGGACATGGTGCAGGATGAGGGTGATGTTTGGTGAACAGTGGTGGCTGTATCAAACCTGTCAATGATAAAGCTTTTAAAAGGTTGTCACTGCATGAGTAAATGTCAGGGGTTTATCTTGGCAGACTGGATTCATGGCATCTAAAATATAGAATATAAAATATGGAACTGGATTGATGTAAACATGCAGAAATAACTTTCACCTGTAGATTGTGTTTACCAGATATCATGGCTCATAATTAAAGGGCCAGTGTGTAATATTTGGCATTTATTGTCAGTCTAAATCTGAATCTGAATATTCTACCCATTAATGTGTTTGTACAAGTGTATAATCGCTATAAAATAAAATTCTTTTGGTTTTCGTAGCCTTATAATTATGCTTTTATATATATGTATATAGCAAGGGCCTTGCTTTAGAGAGGTCGCCATCTTGCACCGCCATGTATGTACGGCAGACCGAGCAGACAATCCAGCCAGCCAGAGAACGCGTTTCACGTGTATAAATAAACCAACAAAGACAGCGGAAGGAAGGAAGAAGGAGGAGGAAACAGCAGAGAGTGTTCGTAGTTCGTCGATAGAGAGTAGTGAAAAGTTTTTTTAGTTATAAAGTTTGCGAATGGACCACACTTACCACACAACAGGAGAGAATGAACCCGAACCGTCATCTGCGAGGAAAAGAAGACGCAACTTCACTCCTTGTGATGCACTCTCTGCGGCGCTTTTCCTCCTGATGATATATCTCCCCAACGATGGTAGCAGTAGCACAAAATCCCATTCTGTGCATTCAGCCTGTCTTCTCGCCCGCTCAGCATCAAACACATGGAGTTCCTCATCTGTGTGCTCTGGCTCAAATCCGCTACAAGAAACTCTTCAAAATCGCGTTCAAAGTCGTCCATTGCAGCTACTATAGTCCGGAGATATTGCTAGGCTAAATAAACAGCTGAGCTCTGTTTACAGGCTACGCTGTCAGTCAGTGTGCGGGCTGGAGATTGGTGGAGCAGAGAGGGGTGGGGGTCCCCACTCGGTATGGTAAACGAGTATGTGTGTATGAAGTGTGTCTGTTACGCTAGAAGAGTCAGAGTTTGGGACGGAGTCTTTTACCCCCTGGAGTGTTACCAGAGTTTTTGGAGTGCTCAAATAAACGGGCCTTTTTCCTGAACGCTCCTCTGGTCTCCTGCTCGTGAGGGATTCATTACAATATCGTAACATGGTTTAGATTTCTAAATAAATATTCACCTTGTCGCTAGAAAGAGCTACTCCTGAAAAACTTGTGCGCAAGGCTTTTTGTCCCTACGAGGCCACCGTCATTTACCCGACGGGAGGAGTGAGCGAGTGAGCCCTGCAATCTAAAATTTGACCACTGATGTCACTGTTTTCAACCCATTTTACACACTGGCCCTTTAAATGTATTATATTTAGTGGATGTTATGATTCTTGCTAATTAGGTAGCATCTGTGATTTTTGCTTTGCACAGTCTCACATCTGCCTCTAAATCTTATTTTCACACATTAAACATTCGGTCACAGGAAACAAAAAAATGTCTGAGGGATCTAAACTTTAATTTGGGCTCCACTACTTTGCTCCGGCATTAAAACTCAGCATGAAAAATTCTCCTGCTGCTATTTTAACCTGCGAGAATAACTATTAAGACGAACAAGGCAGCCAGGTTCAAGAAGTTCAAATCCCTGTGAAGTCTGGGTAGGAGTAGTTGAAAGAGAGGTGCTGTCTGCCTTCAGCCAAGGTTCTGGGCAAAACATAAAATTATTCTGATGGATTGCAAGGAGTAAAAAACTACTCATCAGTCACTGCTGTTATATTATTCCAAAACACTCTTTCCTAATGGTAATTAAAAACAGCCCTTAGCATCTTACATTATCTATAAAAATTACAGCATATACAAAATATGAGTTGAGCCCGACCCACCCATGAAATAGACTCTCAAGATCAATGACAGTAACAGCTATTGATCTCACTGATTAAATACATCTCAGTCATGAAGGTGGGGTATACATCAAGCAGCAGAGCAGAAAGTTCAGGAAGGCTCAGGCGGCAGAGAGTTGGATCCGGCAACTCAACATTAACTATTTAGTTGGGGTCAGTGCGTGCAATGAAGATTACAGGTATTATGAGGATGTGACTAATGTGGCTATAATTTGCATCATCAGTAGGACACCTTGGCACCCAAAGCTAAAAAGCCCGGGCATGATTATCACCTCGACTAGACCCATTTTCATTTCGCTCCTGAATGTGTTATCCACACTGCATCCACCTCCTGGGGCTGTTGTTGCAAATAAAGAATATGTTCTTCATCTAGTTAGTTAAAAGAGGTTTACACAGATATTATTGGTTGCTTAATTCGACCTGATTTCCCTCGCAGGCCCCGACACTTCATCTCGACTGTTGAGCCAGCAGCGAGACGCTTTAATATGCTCATTTTCAGCTTGTAACCGGCTAATAGTTTTCAGACTGGGTCACTCTGAATTTAATCAGCTGTAAGTTGGTGCTTA